TCAACTACCAAAGTCAAGTTTATCTAATTCTTTGCTTGAATCACAAACGAAAGAGTCAAGATAGGAGATCAGTTATCCCTAGGTCAGTATAATTAGAAGTCAATAGAATTCCAGGGCTAGCAGGTGGCATGGTGGTTAGGGGCGCAGGACTTCCACATGGTCGACCACGGCTCGAGTCCTTCACCTGGTGGCTTGCTTTCTCACTCTCGCTCTCTCTAGTTCTCCTTCTTGCTGTGTCCCTCTCTGGTCAAATTAAAAATATAAAAAATTAAAAATTAAAATGAAAAAAAAAGAAATTAAAAAAAGAAGTCAATAGAATTTCAATAATGGTAGACTGAATACAAGAATTTACCCCTGCCCACTTCTGCTATGTTAGTAATGGGATTTTTCCTTTAAAATCATGAAGCTGCTAGGACAATAAGAACCTGAGAGGAGAAAATAACAAAATGTTAAAAACTGAAAAGTAGAACTGAATCTTAAACTAGCAATGGAGAAAGCCAATACCAACATAATTTACACCACAGAATTTCTAAAAAGCACTATTAACATTACTGGAAGTAGGCAACAACAGAACGAGTGGGCTGACATAGAAAGAATCTACTGAACTTATTTCAAGAGCTAGCTAAATTCCTCAAACCAGGCTCCTACTCATAAACTGAATGGTTGCTCCTCTTCCATGTGGGCAAAAGTCTGAAGGTAACAGTTTCTGCAGTCTCTGGAAAGTATGAAATGTAGGTCTCTGGTGAGAAGCTAGGCACAATTTGTAGGGAAGGATGGTACTCTAATGAAAACTGGAGACTGGGTGAACATATGTATGCTGGGATACCCTCCCTCAATCTCCTCCACTTGGTTTCTAAAGGATGGTGGCCAGGCACAGAATTTACAGACAGGAGACTAAATGATATTCTCTGGTTGATCTGAACAGTCAAAGAGGAGAGTGCTAGAGAAACTGACACTGGTGGTTCCCCAAGAAAAAGGCCATTAAGAGCACCTGAAGAAGAGCTATTGCCAGTGAGCCCCACTTGTGCATGGCAGGCTCAAATGAGCCTATTTCCCCCACTCCCATTCTTGAATATAGTGAACAAGAAAGAACCATTTGACATGTGAGGAAACAATGTAAAATGAAAGATAGAGTCCAAAACCAAACACAAAATCTACTTGTACCACAAGAATACAGATAGCAAAAATCCAGATTGTGAGAAACTAGGACAAATGGCCAAGTTTCCTTAACAAGTTAATTGCACAAAAAAGAAAGAAAGAAAGAAAGAAAGAAAGAAAGAAAGAAAGAAAGAAAGAAAGAAAGAAAGAAAGAAAGAAAGAAAGAAAAAAGAGAAATGGGGAACTTATATTGATATTAAAAGAGACTTAATAGAGCCAGCACGTGGCAGGTGGTTAAGGTGCTGGATTCACACATGGACAACCCCAGTTCATGTTCCAGACCCAGCAGGTTGAAAAAATTGCCACAAATAAATAGATAAATAAATAAATATATGGAAAGAAAAGACTTAAAATATATAACCAATTGTACTATATGGACCTTATTTGAGTATTGATTTGAATAACCCAACTGTTTAGAAAAATATATGAAATCATCAAAATAATTTAAATATTGGTTGACTATTTGGTGATATTAAGGAACTATTGTTGACTATTATTTTTAGGTATTACATATTATGGTTATGTTTAAGAATCTTTATGTTTTAGAGATACAGACTAAAATATTTATATATGAAGTGACATGATAACTGGGATTGTCTTCAAAACAATCTGGGTCGCAGGCTGATTAAATAACCATCAATGGAATGAAGGGAACATGAAAATCCTTTGTACTAGTCTCCCTACCATGTTTAAAATTTTCCATAATGGAAAAAAAGGTGTCATTAGAATCCTCAGAGAGGAATTGAAATCATAAAACAGAACCAAAATAATATTTGAAAAGGAACATTTAGAAAATTTTGTAAAGCTCCTATAAATAAAAAATGATAGAAATAAAACATTTAATAAAGAGTTGGCAAAAAAAAAAAAATTGAAGACATATACCAGGAAATACAATGGAATGCTAAAGAAATGAAAATTTAAAAGAGATGAAACAATTGAATGACTAGTTCAGAAAGACCAAGATCTGGATAACTGTTTGAGTGAGACAGAAAAGAGGAATAGGAAGGAGGAATTCATCAACACAATAAGGTAAGGAGGCCCAGGACTCTATAAGAAAAAGATGCACTGATCGCTGACCAATTAATGAAAACAGGCCCAATATTGAGAAAAAGAGATTAAACAAATTTGCATAAAACAAAACAAAACTAAGCAAAACCCTGGCTGTATATAAACGATTAGGAATCAGAAGCATATGAAACTTGACAACAGAAAAAGCTAGAAGCCATTGGAGCAATACCTTCAAAATTCTGAAGGAAAATTCTTGCCAGTATAGTTTTTTCTCCAGCCAAACTATCAAAGATGAAAGTAGAATAAAGACATTTTTTTGAAAGGAAGGTCTCAAAAATTTTATTTCTGTTCACCTTTACTCAACAATAACAGCAAGGAAGTAAATTCAAAATGAGGAATAGGGACAGTCAGTGTCATGGTGGTTGAGGTGGCTGAATTCCTTTGACTAACTACATGGTTGAAGTCCTGGACCTGGCAGCTTAGAAAACACTCTGGGTGCATGCGTTTGTGCCCAAAATCCCAAGAGGAGCGTTGAGGAGAAGAGACTGTGACATGACCATCCTCCATGAAGGGTGCTTCTCATTCTGTCTCTCTCTAAAATGAACACATGCACCCTAGATCAAATTATATACCTACATATGAAAAAAAAAAAAGAGGGGAAAGAAATAAGAGAGCAGGAATCTAGCAGAGAAGAGAGGTAAAGAGAATCCCCAGAATGGTAACAAAGAGAGATTCCAAAATAAAAGGTATTCTATGCCTTGGTTCTCTTACCTGTGAAACAAAGGGCTAACACTAGTGCCTACCTCGTAGAGTTGTTACAAGGACTCATCATAAAACATTTATAGGGGTACCTGCACAAAGTAAGAGCTACAAGAGTTGTAGTTATAATCATCAAAGAATTGACTCTAAATAATATTAACACAGAACTTGATAGATCACAATCACTTTTTTAAAAAGAAGTCAATGTAGTACATATTTCTTTTTTTTTGGAGAGGTTTTCGCTATATGGCGCTTGCGCTCGCCAGACAGACAGAGAGAGACAGAGAGACAGAAAGCGAGAAATCACCCCCCAGGGGGGATGATCACAACGCAATCCCTTCTCCTCCATTCTCCTCTCGGGATCTTGGGCACATACGCACACGAGCCCGGCGTGAGTTTTAAGTCTTCAGGTCCGGGACACAAACCGTGGTCCACTACGTAGGAGTCCAGCGACATAGCCATTACGCTAACTGCTGGTCCCAATGTAGTACATATTTCTGAACTGAATGTATTTCTAGCTTTAGAATGGCTGAAAAGCCTCATACCATATAAGGTTTTGGAGGTTGGCAGACTTCTGAGATTTTTCTAGTGCAATTTCCTCATCTTAAAGAGGAAGAAACTGAAAGTGGCTAAGTAACTTGCTTAAGACCACATAACCATTTAGAAAAGGAGTTGGGACTTCCACTCAGGTGTCTCATGATAATGCACTGAAAATCAGAAATGGAACTATCGAAGTTATGTCTCTATCGAAGAATGTCAGCATTTCACATATACAAAACAAACAAACAAACACATAGAAATATATTGTCCAATCCTGTCATTTTACCCAAAACCTGGCCCTGTGCTCAAGATACCTATAAGCAGAAAGACCACATAGAAAGATCCATCCAGGATGATGAAGACAGGAGACGACAGTTGGGTTTACCGAGTTAGGTTGATAGTACAGAAGAACATGTATTAAATTCACTGCCCTTCCCAGAATTTTTAATTATAGGAAGGACACTTTAGTGAACTTAAACACAGAAGTAAGAATATTAAACCCTAGTGTGAATCAATGTGGTGCAGCACGGATGGGCATTTCTGATCTCCAAGCAGTGTTCTTCTATCACAAAGTTCTCTGTCTAGATGGGCATTTCTGATCTCCTATGGGCAGTGTTCTTCTATCACAAAGTTCTCTGTCTTTCTAAAGGAACATAGGCAATTAGTAGGTTTAGTAGTCATTTCAGTCCCTGCTTCCAAAGAAATGATACTGTCATAAAAATGACACAACAACGAGGACTATCAAGGAAAGCCAGTGAAAAGCATGAGTGCAGTCAGCAGAGAAAAGACAGGATCTTGGGAGAAAAGGATTTCTTCTTGGTCTCACTCAGGCAAAGCACCACGGACACTCCCTTGATGTTTGAGAGGGGAATCAGGCTGGGTGGGAATTTTCCTGGTTAAAATGCCATGATCTGTCTTAATCTTGTTTCAACTGTAAATAAGTCCTCTACATTTTCAGAAAGCCCCATTCAATAGTTGGAAGATGAACTTACTTAAAAAGAAAATTGGCCATTTTCTCCTCATTGAATCGCAGAGGAAAAGTACATGCTAATTTCTCATGTTTGAAGCACTGAAAATTTTTATACTCTTGGATATTTATAACAAAACAATTTGTAATTACCTTTGGATATAGTACTTACCACACTGTGATCCAAATACGAGAGTGATGACTGGCTACATTAAATACCTCAATATTATGACCATTTAGCTAAGATTTAAAATGGCAGGTAAAGAGTCCAAAAATACCAAAAAAGAAAATAAATAATGCTATTTTCAAATGTTAAATCCTTTTTACAAATGTTTATATTAGTACTTTTGATTAATAAAAAGATCTCCTTCCTTTTTCTTGGAAGCATTAGGTACATTCTGGAAAATAATTTGAATAATAAATATAGACATATGTACTGGTAACTTAGCCAAGATAATAAAAAAGTAAATGGAAAACTATTTAGAAATATTTCTAATTTCTTCTGTTTAATAATAGAAACATACAGAAAATAGTTTTAAATAGAAAGTACTATTACGTCAATACTCACAGAAAAAGCAGAATTCCAGTGTTTGCCAGGGCAAAGGCGAGTCCCAGAATCCCACTGCCCATAATGGCATTGCTTAGGTTGAAAACTGACATGCCTAAGGAGGTTGTTCCTGGAATCTGAACAAAGAAACAAACATTCACACTAAGCTAAATAGTTTCCAAGTAAGTTCATCGATCCAAAACCTTTAAGCACTATTAGGAACCAACCTGAAATAAAACTCAAGAAATCCTTTCTTAGTGTTCTAGTTACTTTCTTAAATGAGTTTCAGGAGAAACTATATAGGATATGAGAAATATCTTGGTGAATATAAATAGTTATACTTCTGGAACTATGCTGTATGAATTAAAAACATCTGTTCTAATTTCTGTAATTTTTTTAAAAAAAGCATACTTTATTATAATGATACTTACATATTCATCACATTTCTTTTTTTCCAAATGGCTGTTTGTGAGACTTCTTCTACTTTCACGATCAGAAATAAACTTGCTGTAAAGACACACATAATACATTTAACCTCATGATAATGATTTGACGCTTAATATCATAATTAGGTGATTTACTTACCAAAACATATTCTGCATGAATATTTACCTGTTGGTTTCCTAAGAATGTAGACCCTTATTCAACTCCCTCCTCAATTTCTTTACCCACATCAGTTGTCTGTATTTTGGTTTTACCAAATAACCTATAAGTGCCCCAAGGGCAGGCTACTTTCTCTCCTTCATTTTTATATCCCTTGCTCTGCCTTGTACAAAACAGTGCTAATAGTAGGTGCTCATCTTGAGATGAAATGAAAGACAATCATAAATCAAAAAGGGCTATTTTGAATCATTTTAATAATAAATTAAAATACTATATACAATGTAAGTTAACTCTTATATAGATTTCTCCTTGAGTGGAAAATTAGATAATATCAAGACTGCTGTAAACCTAATATTTAAAAGAATACTGGGGCTGGCAGGTGGCATAGTGGTTAAAGGCGCTGGGTTCCCACATGACCGACTACAGTTCAAATCCAAGACTTAGCAGCTTTCTCTCTCTCTCTCTCTCTCCCTCTCTCTCTCTCTCCCTCTCTGGCCAAATAAAAATAAACAAATAAATAAAGTTAAATAAAATAATTTCTAAATAAATAAATAAATACTGGGTAGAGTTGACTCTGAGGCACAGTGGTGATGTGCTTGTTCAAGAGAAGCCGGGTCCCATATGGTAACCATGGTTCGAATGCCTGTCCCAGTCAGCCTGAAGCACACTGGGCATACATGAGAGTGCCAAGATCAGATGAGCTGGTGGATTGGAGGCAGAGTATGGCAGCATGACCAGACCCTGTAGAGGGTGCTTATTTATCTCTCTCTCCCCCCCTCTTTCTTTCTCTCTCCCCCTCTCTCTCTTCCTCTCTCTCTCTTTCTGTCTCTCTCCCCTTTTCTCTTGCTATCAGTGTTCATGCATGCACTCTATCATGAATAAAGAAAAAAAAGAATATTAGAGGCAGGGTTCCTTCTGAGCTTGTATTCTTAAGAGTACAAAGTTGTTATATAGGAGTTTCCTCTCCCTAGCAAAAAAGAAAACTGTTTCATCATCAAACATTTCTTCAGCATCTGCTATATTCAAGTCACTGGAACAGGCAATGGGGAAACATGGGGGGGGGATCATATAAAAAGGGATGTTGACATTAGGATGTAGGATTCAGACTAGAAAATTAAGGTGGGGAGAGGCAGGGTATGTGGTTCATGGTTAGGATCAGAGCCAAAGCTTTAAGAAAGTATGGGGTTTAGAACTGGAGTTTAAATCTCCACTATCTCTGCGACCTGGGCATGTTACCTATCTGTGAAAAGGGAGTAATACTATTACATTACCCCATCAAGTTACTGGGAGAATAAAATGAGTAAGCACATCACTTAAACATCAGTCCAGCATCTTGGAGAGAGTAAGAGCAATAAATGTAAGTCATTCCTTTTTATGGGAGAAGCGGAACTTGAGTTGGGAGGAGAAAGATTCAGATAGAGCATTTTGAACAAATACATAGAAGAATTCAAAATGTTCTCAGAACCCTGAAAAACTATAGTTAGGGTTAATATCAGAACTTTATGGTCTAAATGTATAATTTTTAAAAATTCTTCATTAAAAAAGTAATTGCTTTTATTAAGCGTTTATCCACACACGAGTAACTGATATATGTATTATAAGGTGTGGTAGAGCTGCTTTTTTGGCTCTTTCAGGTTTGGAAATTGAATTATCTGGCCATGACAAGAATTAATTAGAGCCAGGACCAGCAGTTGGTGTAATGGCTATGTTGTTGGACTCCCATGTAGTCGACGGCAGTTTGAATCCCTGACCCAGTGGCTTAAACTCACAAAGGGCGCGTGTGCGTGCGCCCAAGATCCTGAGAGGAGAATGGAGGAGAAGGGATTGCAGAGTGGCCATCCCCCCTGGAGGGGGGGTAATTTCTCACTTTCTGTCTCTGTCTCTGTCTTTGTGGCAAGTGCACCTCTCCAGAAAAAAAAAAAAGAATTAATTAGAGTAAATTTTGCGTTAATAAATATAAAATCTCTTGAAGGGATTATTTCAATGGAGCATGTATCTTTAACTTGTACATTATACTTTAAATTCTCTATCAAATAATGTCATGTTTCACAATAAAATGCTTTTAAATAAATTTATGTATCACTCATGTAGACGGCATTTATCTATCTATTTTCACCTTCAATACAATATAGCTCTTCCTGGCATTATTTCTCCAAGTTTATGTTATTTCACTAGGAAAAACCAGAGGCAGGCAATGTATACACCACAGACTTACTCTGAGACCATCACTTGGTATAAACTCACCATCTCCACACCTTGCTTTGCCTAGTACCTGCCGATCACTGTGAGGGTTCAGAAGGACATGGAAGAAACCTTTGGTCTCCTAGAATAAGGAGCTGATACTCTAGCCCAGGATAAGCCATGCCAGCTAACACACCGGTTTCAGAATGTTAGGCTGTGCAAAATTAAGATGAGATAAGGAATCCAGAAAAGGAAACACCATTGTTGAGTGGGCTTGGTCAGAGGAAACTTAAGGGCAGAAAGAAGCCTCGGAAATAATATCGCATGCTCTTGGCGAGAGAATAACATAATGAAAGCAGTGTCTTTGGAGACTAACTGTAGCAGTTGGACAACATTGCTGCTAATGATTGGCTTGATCTTTCTTTTGCCCTTAAAGTTTTAAATATTTCCACAGAACTGAGGTTTATAGATCTGGCTGCAAACAGGGCAGCGGAAAGCAATCTTCCCTTTCACACGGTGAGCCAAGAAAACAAGGGTGCTGGACTTCCTAAAATGAAATTGGCTCATATTTAAGGACTGCTGTTAAATAAGAGACTATGTTTAATAAGGCTAGTTTTGGAGGTTTCATTTGTTTGTTTTGCAAGAGGGCTTGTGTAGTCCAGAGGAAGGCAGACAGTGAAAGGATAAAGCACTCCTCGTAAGGCATGACCACACCACAATCCCTTCTCCATCTCTCCCTCCTTTCAGGATTTTAGGCATGCATGCACACACACCTTGAGTGATTTTCCTTTTCTTTAAATTTTTTCCCTTTATTTATTCATTCATTTATTTTAATTTGATCAGAGAGAGACATAGAGAGTGAGAGAGAGGGAAAGTCAGAAAGCAAGTCACAAGGTCCAGGACTGGAACTGTGGTCAGCCATGTGGGAATGTCCAGAGCCTTAACCACCACATCACCTGCTAGTCCCCAACTGGAGCGATTTTAAGCCCAGGTCCAGGATTAAAATAGAGAAGGAAGGAAGGAAGGAAGGAAGGAAGGAAGGAAGGAAGGAAGGGAGTCAGACATAAGGAAGCCAGTGCCTTAACCACCATGCTACCTGCTGGCCTTAGGTTAGTTTTTAATAACCAACTCAAATCTATCAAATCTTTATTCAGCAGGTCTCCCATTTGCCTTTCTTGTAGAGGAACTTGTTTTCTGAAAAGGATTGCATTATTTTTATTATTTTATTATTATTATTGCCAGAGGGTGCGGGTACTCACAAGAGACAGAATACAAGGAAAACTATGCCCCAGTGGGCAGTGATCATCCTACTATCCTTCTCCCTTCATCTCTCCATCCTGTCAGAATTTGGGGCACACACACACACACGTCCAGTGTGTGTTTCAAGTCATTGAACCAGGACATGAACTGCAGTCAGCTGTGTGGGATCTGATGCATATAAAGGGCTTAACATGATGTGCCATGGTACTGACCCTCCATTATTATTAACATTTTCAAAAAAAAAACAATAAACTGCCTGATATGGCAGATCTAAGTTCCAGGCCTGGCATTCCTCCCCAGAATTGATGGCAGAGGACTGGTGGGCAGAGAAGAAAGGGCTGCAGGCACTGTATTATGAAAGAGCATTCAATAGTGTCAAACGCTGTGCAGCTGAAGGGGGTGAAAAATAAGCTGCATGACTGCCAGCTATTCCCAGAAGAGATTTGCAGAATCAGAATAATGACACTGACTTACAGAGCTGTTTTACAACCATTAAAAATACACTAAAACACCTCATTTGTCAAGAACCTCACTAATTCTGTCTCCACTGGTTCACTTTCTGCAGAAGATTATAGATTTTCCCAAACATTTCTACTGGTTGTCTTGGAACAAGTTTCAAGTACAAATTCTCCACCTGGGTATTCTAGGTACTGCATAATTTGATTTTGCCTCATTGTCCCAATCTTAGTTATCTTTGCTTTTTAAGAAGATCCTCCAAGGGACCAGCAGTTGGCATAATGGCTATGTCACTGGACTCCAATGTAGTTGACCACAGTTCGAGTCCCAGACCTGGTGGCTTAAATTCACGCCAGGTGTGTGTGTGTGCGTGCCCAAGATCCTGACAGAATGGAGGAGAAGGGATTGCGGCATAGCCATCCCCTCTTGGGGGGGGAAGAGGGTGATTTCTCGCCTTCTGTCTTTCTATCTGTCTCTGTCTTTCTGGTGAGCACACATGCTCTATTACCAAACACCTCTCCAAAAAAAAAAAAAAATAGAAGACCCTCCAAAGAGGAGGAGAAAACTGAAGCAAGATTAGTGCACACTGAGAGAGGGGGCAGCCCTCTGTCCTCCTCTCAGCTAATCACTGCCTGCCAGTTTCTAGACCTCATCTTCCACAGGTCATCCTAACACTGGTTTGAAGAGAGTTTCTGACTCTGACCTATTTACTACTTATCTGTAGTGCACACTGTGCCACTTAACGCATCTTGCAGCCAAAGTGGTTGTGCAGTGCTCTCTGCCTCTATAGTTCCTTCTCACACAAACCTACCTACATATTAGCAACTCAGAGGAACCCTCTGTAAACTGAACGTGTCTTCTATTTAAGAACTGTAGTTTAGGCGGCAAGAAATTAGCTCAATAAGAATGAAAGCACTTAAAGAAAGCTTCTTTATTCTCTTTATGGTGTTTCAATTTTTTCTTCTCTTTAGTCTTTAAATCTTTGCTTTGTACTTCTGTAAACTTTA